TCAGTGCTATCGGATCTGTCATTTATCTCCGTTCGTGATAAAAGAGTTGAGCCACATGGATGTGTTTGCTAGGGGACTCTGTTTGCGGGTTGGGAGCCCGCCGTCTGTGAAGCATCGGTCCATTCCATGGACGCGATGGCTGAAATTCTTTTGGCTATCCCCAAGCCTACTCTTCTTTCTCCTTCCTGCTTAGTACAACTGGGGGTTTCGACGCGCTTGCAAGTGCCCTCGATCAGTGTGCGTTCAACTGGCTGGCTCTCATTCTTTTCAGCGCTATCGGATATTTCATTTATCTCTGGCGGTGATAAAACAGCTGAGCCACATTATATTACATCAAAATCATCACCATCATCATCGTCCACACCATCATCATCCTCATCCCCCGATGCATCGGCACTACCTGCACCATCATCATACTTGCCATCACTACCATCATCAGCCCCAGCAGCATCTGCATCAACACTCTCGCCACCATCAGCTACGTTTTGGTTCACCTCTCACACGTTTCGTTGCCACATCGGGAGCTTCTACGACGGCCCACATGCCAAGGCTCACATGAGTTCCTGCCTTTGATTTGGGCGCGCCCTTCCTACGACGCGTGGCCCCGTCGGGAGTTCCAATTTCGGGTTAAATTGCAGGGTTCTTATGAGTTTCCGCAGTTCATGTCTGCACACCTCTCCCACGTTTCGTGGCCCCGTAGGGAGCTCCAATCGAGTTCGCATGAGTTACCGCGTTTCATTTCGGCACACCTCTCACACAGTTCGTGGCCCCATGGGGAGCTCCAGCTCAGGGCCAAATGCCAGGGCTCCCGCCTCTCGTAAGGGAGTTCCAACTGCGACCCAAACGGCAGGGTTCGTAATCTAAGATCGCCACAAGAAGAGGCCGCTTGTGTAAAGGCTAAGAGGATTTTCTTTGTAGGTCAGCCTTAAATTGCATCCTTCTGCGAGGCCGTCGCAGAAGGAATGACCGGCAAAGCCGCCACAGGTAATGGTGATGCAGATGATCTGGAGGTTGATGATGCTGATGTTGATGATGATGAGGCTGATGATGATAAGCATGACTGTATTGGTGATGATGATGAGGATGCTGATGATGGTGATGATGATGATGAGATGATGATGATGATGATGATGATGATGATGATGATGATGATGATGATGATTATGATGGTGGTGGTGGTGGTAGTGATGATGATGATGATGATGAGGATGATGATTATGATGATGATGATGCTGATGATGATGATGATGATGATGATGATGATGATGGTGATGGTGATGGTGATGGTGATGCTGCTGATGATGATGATGATGATGATGATGGTGCTGATGATGATTATGATGATGATGATGATGATGATGATGATGATGATGATGATGATGATGATGATGATGATGATGATGATGATGATGATGATGATGATGATGATGATGATGATGATGATGATGATGATGATGATGATGATGATGATGATGATGATGATGATGATGATGATGATGATGATGATGATGATGATGATGATATAACTGATGAGAGTGAAGAAGTTGCTTAATGGTCATAACTGTGTCAACACATCCCCGTTGTAGTCGTACAAGCAAGCCCAAGGCCCCCCACGCCGGACCTCCCAAGAGGACTCGAACATCTTGTCGATGCAGCCGAGACGCCGAAAGAAGGACTATGCTTGGATGTAAGAGGCTCAAGACCTCTCAATTGAGGTCCGAGCCGATGGGGTCGAACGATCGCGCCGCATCGCCGATACATCGACGACGAGGGTCGATATGGAGCCAGAACTTCCCCACGCCGAGTTCTGATGCATCGCCGAAGTCGTCGATGTACTGGCGATGCGGCGCGAGCGTTGGCAATGCCCTCCGACCCCAGCTACTCGAACCCCATGTGGCAGGCCTCCAGAAGCGCGATGACAACGACCAGGGTTCCTGGGGATCTTGTCGGCGCCGATCGCGGTCATGGTCTATGCCGTCTGTCGCCGATTCGCGGGGAGGATCCACGGATCGACGGTGACCAAGGTGGGCGGTGACGAAGAGCGGCGCTGGCGCTTTCGCGTGCAGGCCTGGTCGTGGTCATTGTTTTCTTCGGTATCGGTTAACCGATCCCCATCCCCATTCCCATCCCCTTCGAGACCCCCACCAGATCACCACCCCAGTTGGGGATGCACCCCTCGAAACCCCAAGGGAACGACCTAATCCCCATCTAGGGGGGTAAATCTGCCAGCTGGGCCCAGGCCACGCCGCTGGGGATGGGGATCGGCCAACCGATATTCATTTCCTTCCCTGCAGCTCTGGGCTCGGGAGGGGGGCTTCGGCTTTCGGGCTTTTCTTTCACAGCACAAGCGGGCCGCTGAGGCAGGAACCCTTCTCGTTGGGGAGGGTCTCTATGCTCTGTGTCTTTACAGTTTGTCTCAGGTTTTCCTTAGGTTTGTTCTATGGGAAGTCGAAGCTTCGCTTCTGGATAAGAGGGGCCTCGGTCCTCGTTTCGGGTTCCTTATGACAGCGTTTCGACTGTAGGCTGGGTGATCCGTCCGTGGCGGAGGGTCTCTGTGCCCAGGCAACACCCTCGTCCCTTCCTCGGCGCTCCCTCCTGGCAGCACGATGCGGTCGAAGTGAGGCATGAGATCGAGGACGGTTCGGAGAAGGGTGCGGTAGGTTTGCGTCGTGTCGACCCGCGGCGACCCCAGCGCGGGCGTTCAAGGTTGAACGCCGCCAGCGACCCAGAATCGATCGATGTTGAACGATCGGACGTTGCCGCAGCGGCCGATCGTTCAAGGTTGAACGATCCCTGCGGTGTCAAAAACCAACGCTGGGGTCGGCACGACTTGAACCTGCCGTGCCCAAGTGTCCTTCGTGTCTGTTGGCTGTGATTGTGCTGCATCCCTGGGGAGGTGCCCTGGCATTTTCTACTTGTTTCAGGAGGGAAAAAAACACACAGACACAATTAATCCTCGATTCCCAGGAAAATATGGGAAAATATGGGAATTGGGGGGGAAGACAAAAACCCAGAAAATATGGGAAAATATGGGAACTATTTTTATTTGTGTGTATTTATTTGTGTGTCCTAATTTCCCTTTATTGTTGTGGCCGAGGGAGGGTCTCCTGTTCTTGAAGACTTTTCGTCTGGCCTGGCCCCGCGCTCCCGAGCAACCCCTTCTGACTTTTTCTCCTTTTTATCCCTCATATCATATCTCCTCCTCCTCCTCCTCCTCCTCCTCCTCCTCCTCCTCCTCCTCCTCCTCCTCCTCCTCCTCCTCCTCCTCCTCCTCCTCATCCTCCTCTCCCAGTTTGGGCGATCTGACTTTTTCTCCTTCGTCGCTGTCGCCCTCGTCGCTCTCGTCGCCCTCGTCGCTCTCGTCGCCCTCGTCGCTCTCGTCGCTGTCGCCGCTCTCGTCGCTGTCGCCCTCGTCGTCGTCGTCGTCGTCGCCCTCGTCGTCGTCGTCGCCCTCTCCTTCGTCGCCCTCTCCTTCGTCGCCCTCGCCGGTCTCCTGTTCTTGAAATAAATTAATTAATAGAAAGAAAGAGAATTATTTTATTATAATTATTTGTTATCATCATTTTATAAAAGAAAATAAAAGAAAAAGTGAATTCTTGACAGACGATCCTAATTTCAATTTCTGGCCTTTTCGTCTGGCCTCCCAGTTTGGGCGATCTGACTTTTTCTCCTTCGTCGCTGTCGCTCTCGTCGCTCTCGTCGCCCTCGTCGCTCTCGTCGCCCTCGTCGCTCTCGTCGCCCTCGTCGCTCTCGTCGCTGTCGCCGCTCTCGTCGCTGTCGCCCTCGTCGTCGTCGTCGTCGTCGCCCTCGTCGTCGTCGTCGCCCTCTCCTTCGTCGCCCTCTCCTTCGTCGCCCTCGCCGGTCTCCTGTTCTTGAAATAAATTAATTAATAGAAAGAAAGAGAATTATTTTATTATAATTATTTGTTATCATCATTTTATAAAAGAAAATAAAAGAAAAAGTGAATTCTTGACAGACGATCCTAATTTCAATTTCTGGCCTTTTCGTCTGGCCTCCCAGTTTGGGCGATCTGACTTTTTCTCCTTCGTCGCTGTCGCTCTCGTCGCTCTCGTCGCCCTCGTCGCTCTCGTCGCCCTCGTCGCTCTCGTCGCCCTCGTCGCTCTCGTCGCTGTCGCCGCTCTCGTCGCTGTCGCCCTCGTCGTCGTCGTCGTCGTCGCCCTCGTCGTCGTCGTCGCCCTCTCCTTCGTCGCCCTCTCCTTCGTCGCCCTCGCCGGTCTCCTGTTCTTGAAATAAATTAATTAATAGAAAGAAAGAGAATTATTTTATTATAATTATTTGTTATCATCATTTTATAAAAGAAAATAAAAGAAAAAGTGAATTCTTGACAGACGATCCTAATTTCAATTTCTGGCCTTTTCGTCTGGCCTCCCAGTTTGGGCGATCTGACTTTTTCTCCTTCGTCGCTGTCGCTCTCGTCGCTCTCGTCGCCCTCGTCGCTCTCGTCGCCCTCGTCGCTCTCGTCGCCCTCGTCGCTCTCGTCGCTGTCGCCGCTCTCGTCGCTGTCGCCGCCCTCGTCGCCGTCGCCGCCCTCGTCGCTGTCGCCCTCGTCGTCGTCGTCGTCGCCCTCGTCGTCGTCGTCGTCGTCGCCCTCGTCGTCGTCGTCGCCCTCTCCTTCGTCGCCCTCGCCGTCGTCGCCCTCGTCGTAGTCGCTCTCGCCGTAGTCGCCCTCGCCGTCGTCGCTTCGGCCAGACTCGGCCCTAGAACCTGAGGGGGCTGCTTGGGGCGGGGCTCGGAGGCCCTTTTTCGGGGCCAGTGAGTAGAACGAAGGCGCACTCCCTTGACATGTCTGAGATGTCTCGATCTGTGATGTTTGCTGTTTCTCTCTCTATCTCCGTCTCTCCTTCTCTCTCCCTCTCTCTCTCTTATGCCGTCCGTCTGCTCCTTTTTGGTCTTTGTCTTGTTATGGTGGTTGGTGTTATCCCCGCCCCCCGTTCATGCACTCTTTGCTTGTCTTCCACACATTGACCCCACCTGGGGAGGCGCCTGGCTGCCTTGGAGGCAGAGAAAGATCTTACTCCGTCTGCCAAGAAGGTTGCGCAGCAGTCGAAGTCAAAGGCGCCACCCTTGCCCGCGTCAGCATTGTGAGTTGCGATCGTGGAAAGCGTGATCCATGCGAGCGAGCGCCTGCTGAACATGAGGTGCTATCGGGGCACGGGCTAGTTACAATCAACTGAGTTTGCCGCACTGCTGGATGACACCGTAGGCTGACATCCAACACATTCCAAGCACATGCTATGCACTCTTGACCGCGTGCACCTCTCCATCGAACGGACGGCAATGTTGTGATAGGGCGGAATGCAATGATGGTATCCATCTGCCTGCAGCAGACCCCGCCACCGTGCTACCGCAGCAGCGCAGCTGGAATGATGCAGAGCATTGAGCCCGCTCAGGTCCAGCGCCCTGTTTGAACTGGCGCGGGTCTTGAATCACTGATTGTCCGCAGTCTCGTTCTCCTCTTTCTCCCTCCCTCCCTCCGTCCCTCCCCTGCCATCTCCGTTCCAGGGGTAGACAGGGGAGTAGGAGGAGGAGGGGGAGGAGGAGGAGGAGGAGGAGGAGGAGGAGGAGGAGGAGGGGAAGGCCGACGAGGATGAGGAGGAGGAGGAGGAGGAGGAGGAGGAGGATGAAGAGGAAAGGAGGAGGAGGAGGAGCAGGAGGACGAGGAGGAGGAATAGGAGGAGGAGGAGGAGGAGGAGGAGGAGGAGGACTCCCGCTTCTGTCTTGCTCCTTCTCCCTGTAATCCTCGAGGCGCGAACCACGACTCTGGCGCTCGTCCTCTTCACCTTACTCTCCCGCTTTCTTGACGGCATCCGGGAGATCTCTTGGGGGCTGTTGGGGACTCGTCGGGGTGCCCGTGGAGGGCCCGTCGGGAGTCTCGGAGCCGTCTTGGGCGCGATTGTGCCACAGGGCTCCCCCGACAAACATGCTCGTTTGTTTCGTCTTGGGGGCGTCGGGGCGGGTCTTTCGTTCTTTGGGGCCTTCTTTGGTTCTCTCGGGGGGTTCTCGGGCTGTCTTGTGGGAGGCCCTCTGCAACTTTCCCCAGGTTGTCTTAATCCGGAAAGTTACGGTAGTTACGTTATGCACACACGTATAGACATGGGGACGTGTCAAAGTTAATTCTTGACGCCGGTAAGTACCTCACTCACAGCGGCGGTTAGCTGCGACCCTGGATCCCGCGAGGAATGGCAGATACGTCGAGTAAGGCAGTGCCCCGACGGTGGCCGCCCCTCCGTACTCCATGCAGGTGGCTGGCACGCCCATCTGTCTCTCACACGGACTGCTGTCGTACTCCCGGGGACAGTTGCCGACAGCACCTCAGACGGCAGTCGGCCGTCACCCTGGCCTTCCCTGGGACACCGAAGCGGAAGAGGCCGAAGGCCACCCTGGACGAGTGCAGCGGACCCTGAGCAGCCGTTCGCTGCCTCCCTGGTGCTCGGGCCATGGTTCGGCGCCCCTGCCCCGCCAGGTCCCCCCGGGATCCGTGTGGAGGGTCGGTGATGTCTGTCCCCACCGCCCCTCTCCTCGGGTCCCTCCTTACGGCGGTAATTACCTCACCCATAGCGGCGGTTAGCTGCGACCCTGGATCCACGCGGGGAATGGCAGATACGACGGGTAAGACAGTGCCCCGACGGTGACCGCCCTTCCGTATTCATGCGGGCGGCTGTCGTGCACTTGATTCTCATACCCGGGCCTCGGCAGCTCTAACCTCAGACGGCAGCCGACCGTCACCCCGGCTTTCCCTTGGACATCGAAGCGGAAGAGGCCGAAGGCCACCCTGGACGAGTGCAGCGGGCCCTGAGCAGCCGTTCGCTGCCTCCCTGGTGCTCGGGCCATGGTTCGGCGCCCCTGCCCCGCCAGGTCCCCCTGGGATCCGTATGGAGGGTCGGTGATGTCTGTCCCCACCGCCCCTCTCCTCGGGTCCCTCCTGGGCGGGCTGCTGCCGGGTTCTCTTGCCCCTGGATCGCGAGGTGGACGTTCTTTTTGTCCCCCTCCTTCGCCAGGTGTCCCAGGGGAGCCCCTCGGCGTGGAGGGCCGGTGATGTCTGTCCCCACCGTCCCTCCCCTCAGGCTGGCCCTCAGGTCTCTCCCGGGCTGGGCTGCTGCCAGGCTCGCAGTCCCCTGGATGCAGCCCCTCCCTGGATCCCCCTGCCTCGCTTGCGATGTTCACCACGCCAGCCTGGCTCCCTCCTGCAGTCCATCTGGCGTCGGCTCTGTGCCGTTGTTGGAGGGGTCGGCCCACTGACGTCCGGGCCTCCCTCGGGCACGTGACGATGGCCCCTTGGGTGCTGTGGTTGCGCCGGAATGGTTTTGCCTTCTGCAGTCGCAACAGCACCCTGGACTCATCCCCCTCTTCAGGCAGGCTTGCGACGTCCCTCGGCAGTTCAGCTCCCCCAGCCCGCACACGCCGTTGGGACGGCCCTGGGCCTGGCGCCCCACTGGCGACTCGCCCATCGTTCTTCTCGCCTGAACGCCCACCCAGCATCACGGACACGTCGACACTTTCGTGCACGTCCCCGCGTCGTCTGTGTGGGTTATGCCTCGCGGCATGCACCGAATTTCTCGGCATGTTGTCAGACTGCACGTGCCTGAGCTTCCCTGAATGCCCCCAGCTGTCAGCCTCCCGCGCAGCCCCGCTGCTGCTTGGTGAGTGGGCCGGCCGGCCTGCGGCGCGTTTTGTAGCTAATTAAGTTTGCCCGTCGGCCCGGACAACTTCTCTCGCCGCTTGTGTGCTCGCTGGTGGCCGCGACCCAAAAAATATATCCCCACCAGCAGGCTCCCGCGTTGCTAATTTGACAGGCCCGTGGCCCGGACCTCTCAGTTCGGCGACTGCGAATCCGCGTATATCCCCACCAGTACCGCGTCTCTTGACCCGCAGCGTAGCTCGCTCCTGTGCGATCTTGTTCGGAATTTTGTCCGCTGCTTGTTAGCCGCGTTTCTTGACGGCGCCTGGCATGCCTGCGCGCTCGCGAACAAAATCCCCATCAACCCATCCAAAAAGATGCCCATGCTAGCTGACGGGTAGAGAGAGGAATAGTCACGCATAGTCAAACAGCGAGGCTGTCTTGGGCCATGTTCGAGGTCATTTTGGGCTCTCTAAGGCCGCTCAAAGGGCCTCCAGGTTGCCTCTCGGGTGTCTCTTGGAGGTCTCTTGGGGCGTCTTGGGGCGCTCTTGGAGCCCTCTTGGGGTTCTCTTGGGAGCCCCGGGGGGCCCTCTGGAGGCCATCTTGGAGGCGGTCGGTCACAAGAAGGGGGTCCTCGATGTAGCTCTCCCCCTCGGGGGCCGCGATCCTCATGAGTGGTGTCAATAAGTGACCCTCCCAGGGGCCGAAAAAGGGCCCTCTGACACATCGGCCCCCCTCCCCCAAAAACCCAGGGACGGGAGGGGAGGGTCCCCGAGGAAAGAGACTCCCGTTAGTCTACCTGTAATCCAGAGGGTTGGTGGGATTGCGTAGGAAATCGAACGAGTTAATGATGTCCACCAGGGGGCAACAAACACCTCCGCGGGAGTTCGTCGGAAGCGCTGTCCTGGGGCCCGTGGGCGGCGTGCACGGAGCTGCTTGCTGAGCTGTTCGTTTGCCCAGCTGCTTGCTTGGTTCACGGATTGCTCGATTGCTTCGCGTTAGGAACAGAGTCCCTGGCACGGAAAGAGAAGCCCGCCCCCGGAGAATTCCAACCGGCCCCTGCTGCATGCAGCCCCTGGCCTGCCGGGGACGGCTTGTCCTTTGCATGCCGGGGGCAACAGTCCCCAGCATGTCTCCGGCACGCGAGGGACGGGGCTGTCTCCAGCGTGCCCCTGGCACGACGGCTGCCCCTGGCATGCCAGGGGCGGCTGTCCCCAGCGAGACAGCTGCCCCTGGCACAGCCTGTCCCCGACATGCCGGGGACGGGCTGTCCCTGCAGCTTCCCCTGCATGCACCAATCACTTGCATACGACTAGGCTTCGAAGAAAAAAACGACCCCTATGATTCAGGGAAGAACGCAGGTTTTTCACATCATGGCTAGAGATTTTAGCCCGCATGCCTGAGCGAATGCTCGCAATTGAGATCGTCTTGAACAGGGCGGTCACGCATCTGCAGCCTGCCGCTTGGCACTGGGCCCGAGTCAAAGGCCTCATTGGAGCTGTTGTTGCCAGCCTCATGGGTCTCCACTGGGGCCCCCTTGGCCCCGCCTCCTGGAGGACCCCCAGGGTCGAAGTTCTTCACGTACTAGAGCTTGACAAAGAGCATTTGCTCATGTTTGAGATCAAGAAAACTTTCGACCATGCGTGTTGGATTCGTGATGCCAGTTCTCATCCGCGTGGTATGGGTGCCCAGGACGGTGTAGATTTCACTGTCTTGAAGCAGCACCTCCTTTCCCTTGCACGTCGCAAGGATTACGATAAAGCAGGAGTTTTGCGCGTGGTGGCCACGGGGGCCCCGCGGCCAGCAGCGAGGCGTTTTGGCGGCGAACGCCGCGGGGGCATCCGTATCGCCGCATCGCCCTTTCCCCTCCTGATGGCTCCCCTGCTGCTGCTGGTGCCTCTGCTGCTGCTGCGGCTGCCTCCTCGTCCCGGGACAACCCGAGGCCCCCGAGGGCCCTCGCTTTTTTTGATGACCCCGATGGGGGCCCTTTGGAGAAGGAGGACCCTGTCTCGGAAGAAGAGGGGGGCATGGTCGCGAGGGAGACCGACCAGGCCTTGCTCCACAGTGCTCCGCCCATTCTAGAAGATTGGAATTCCCAGTTCTGCCCCAGGTGCCGAGAGCGTGACAAGTCTCTTTTCCACCAGATCTGGGAGTGCTGCTGCAATATCGAGCTGCGTGAAGAGGGCTGCATTGGGATCTCTGGCTGCGTGGTCTCACGCCCTTGGCGTGGACCTTCTATATCCGGCACTTGGAGATCCAGGGAGTAGAGAAGCTGCCCCCTCTCCCTTCAAGGTGAAAAGCTGCACCTTCCCACTGGGGCCAACGTCGGAGGTGATGGGTCTGGAGGCCCCCATTCCGCTGGCCCCAGGCTTCTTCGAAGGCGTGGATGGGGGGCGGCCATTTTCCTAGGAGGTGAGATTTTGGGGTGGGCCAAGGTGCCGCTCCCCACGTGCAAGCAGACTAGCCCCTTGTCTGAGCTGTGGGCCTGCTATCGCATTGCCCAACTGAGGGAGGGAGACCTCGTTCTCGTCGGAGACAATGATTCCGTGGCCTGTGGGATTCAGTCGGGACCCTGCCTTCACCGCTCCCAGAATCCCATCCATCTGGGGCCTGTTCTGGCAGGAGTGTGCTGGGCGTCGCGTGGGAGCCGTCAAAATTAAGTCTCATGAGTCCGCCTCCGGTGCTGTGTCAGTTCGACTGAGCCGTTTCGAATTTTGGGCGGCTAATTTTGTTGTGGACAAGCTAGCTGAGGAAGGGGCCAGGGAGGCCCAACTCCCCGATTGGGCCATCACCGAAGTCGAGTTGACACTCTTAGTTAGTAGGAGAGTCCAGGAACACATAATGACGGTTTCCCATCACATTGCCATGACTGCTGCCCAGATTTGCGGTGCCAGTAGCGCGGAGGACAGGAAGCGAGAAGGCAAGCGTCGGAGACTAGCCAAGCTTGATGTCCTCGTCGGCGCTGTGCAGCAGTACGACCCACTGCTTGGCGGACGGTTCCTCTAGCAAGGCGCCCGGGTGCTCCAAATGCCTCACGGCCCCGTCGGGGGCAGCGGAGGACTGGCTCCGATCGGAGTGCCCAGGGCTCCCTGCGAGGATCCACCCGTCCCACAAGCGGCTCCAGAGGTTTCGGGGCGTCCTTTGGTGCCGTGGATGTGGGGGCTACGCAGCTTCACATTTATGAAACTCTCTAAGCCCTGCCTAGAGAAGATCTCGGAGCATGGGGAGAGAGTTCTCAAAGCGCTGGAGGCGGGGAGGCTCCCGAGGGATATCAAAGCCTGGCCTGAGCCAGAACCCCAGCTGGAGCGCCCGCCCCCAGTTTCGTTTTTCTGATTTGAGGAGGGGGCCCTGTCGTGGCTCACTGGCTGGGTGGATCGCAGCCCAGTCGGTGAGTGACACATTTTGAGGGGCCCCCTCCGAACTTTTATGTAGTGGCTCCGCCATGTGGACACCGCCCTTTTAGGTAGGCGAAGGGCAAAAGGAGGAGGACCAGAAGGAGGAGGCAGAGCACGCCGTGGAGCAGCAGAAGGAGGACGAGGAGGAGGATGATGAAGCAGGATGCGTGCAGAAACCCTGGCGGGCAACCGACCAAGAGCACTCGAGCGCACGCCTGCGCGCCGCAGGCACAGTGGCGGATCCTCAGAACGTAGGGTATGGTGGACGGGTTACGCGCCAGTCGTTGAAGGCAGGTGTGTTTTTGCAGTCCCAGATCCCAAGCTACTTTACTCGTCTGCCTCCTTCAAGGGTCGAGTGTCTTCACCTTCTCTGTCCTCCTCGGGGGGCGGGCGGAAGCCCAACCTGCTTCCAACGCCTTCCTACTTCATGGTTCTACCCACTTCTTCTGACCGACGGGTATTCTGAACTTGTGCCGAGGGGGAGGCGTCAGGGGCGACGCTGGGGGGGACAGTCTCAGGGGGATGCGCAACAGGTACGAGATGCCCATAAGCGTGGGCACTCCCTCGTGCTGGCTGAAACACCAGCCAAACTGGCCAGACGACGATGAGAGCGAACTGACAGCCCTTGCGTTTTGTTTCACATATCTGCGCAAACTTCTGGTGGCTTCTTAAGGGGGGATGCATCGTCCCCCAATCGCTCACTCATCGCCGACAAGGGGCCCGATAGCCCACCCTGCCCAGGAGCGTGCGGATTTGCTACCAGGGACCTACGGCCGATCTATCGGTGATGTGTCGCCGATTCCACCTCGATGTTGGCCCCCCTGAGCTGGTTCCCGCCTACCGTTGCCCTTCATTCAGGTCGAGGCAGGGGTTCACCCACTGATTAGGAAGTCGTGTTCCCTCGTGCCCAACACCGCATCCGGTAACGGTTGCGATAGAGGACCGCCAGTCGATTCCACTTCCACATTAGTAGCGTACCAGTCATCAATAGGTCGAGCATGTAACGGCAAGCGTGGTGCAGGCCATCAATGACGGACCGCCCGAAAATAAACCACACGTAGTGTTGGTGACAATTTGAAACTCAGACACATTTGAAACCAAGCTAACGGAGAAAAAATATTGTCATAGGTTGGGTCGTTGCATTTCTTTGTCTTGAGTTGGTGTATTTTGTTTTGCTTTGCTTTGTCTTTGCATTGCAACACCGTGGCCTTGTATTTCACTTTGTCGCAAACCTTTGCTTTGCTTGCTTTGTAATCTAAGATGCTTTAGTTTGTTTTGTGGTGCGCTGTGTTTGCGTTTGAGTTGAGCTGCTTCGTGGTGCTTTGCAGTCCCACGGCGCTGCTTGAGTAGAACTGCGTTGCACGTTGCTGCCTGGTAGCAGTGCCGTGCGACGCATTCTGTCGCAACTGTACTTCTTTGCGTTGTCTCGCGGTGTCATTGCAATGCCATGCAGCAGTAACCCGCATTCAATGCATGCATCTTGTGCTGGCCGACGCAAAGAACTTCAAGCCGAGTGCGAGCAACGCTATTGAATGAAACGCAATTGGATGCAACATACGACAATACGAGTTGAAGCATGTTGAAACTGCGCAGTGCAAACGAACAACGTGTATCGTGCAAGTGCCATTCGACGTAATGCAATGCGAATCAAATCTTAGGCAATGTTATGATTGTAGCGCCGAGCAGCGATAAGTGGGCAAGTCACAGCAACGAAATGCAGAGTAACGCAACCCAGAGCAGTACAATGCAATGTAGATGAAGCGCCCTGCAACACGATGCGATGGGATGCGAACCAATGCACTGCACAGTTCAACTACTTGTGCCTGATGCTGCCGCATGATGATACTAGCCGCTCCTAATGGATCAACGATAAGTCTGTAAGTCGTCTGGGCTTTCGGCGTGCCATCTTGAGTCAGTACAGGCCGCTGCTAGCTTCTTTCATGGTACATTACGTTGTGCGGGATTATGGTTGCAGTTGCTAGCTGATCTTGGCTGTTGTTAGCCCTGAATGGTACGCCTTGCAGGGAGTTCCAGTTGTTGTTGAAAGCCAGTGCTAAGTATAGCCAGCCCGTATCTAGTAGTGTAGTGTTGGTGCGTTCGATTGGAATTGTGTTTCGTATTTTATGCCGATAGCGTCTCGCAGTACGATTGATTTGTCAGGGTCCACACATCAATTTCAATTTCTTGCCATAGCTCCCAACTTTGAGTTTGCAAGTGTTCGCTTCGCTCTTCTTGAGATACAAGTCTGACGATCATGGGACTGGGTGTAGTGAGGGGACTAGGAGTGCAGGTCGTTCGGGGATTGGCTGGTGGAGCAATGTTCACTCTCCGCCTTGGCACATGGGGTGGCACGCCACGGTACTGTTTGACGGATGACCACCAGATTTTGAGTTCCAGTCAGACGAGAAGCAGTCAGGTTCAGCAACGGGGCCCATACTGTATTGGTCCTTCTTATTACTACGGCTGCTCAGGACATCTTTTTTTCGACCAGTCCTCCGGAGCGTCTCTGTTGGTTTCTTTCAATGTGGCTGTTTCCGTTTTGCCCTGAGGTTCATGCGTATTCTTTGTTCTTCTGCACTTCAGTTCTAAGCCATCGTTGTCGGTCTTTGCGGCCTTCGCGCCTGAAAGGTGAAGAAGGTGGTGGGAACGAAAGTCCACCGCTGCGATGCATCGTGGCCTCTTGCTTCTCCTTCGTTGTGGCTTGCGAACACAGGTCACAGGTGGAACCTGTGTGGCAATGGTTTGGAACCTGGGGTTGTCATTTTGCCCTGGCCGCCACCTCAGATAGTCATGGTGCGACCACCCATGCAGATTGCGACCAGCTTAGATCCACTCGGTCAGCGTACGATCATACTCAGCCTTACCCCACGACCATGCAGGCAATATGTTTGCGCTGAGTCAGCATGGGTCGACGAAGCCAGCAGCCCCTGCGAATGAGTATCGGAGTTTGGGGGGCGAGATCGCAGTGGAATGGAGAACCCCCCATCGGGAAATCGGTTTCGGTTTCGTGTTCGCGTCGTGCGTGCGGGCTAGGCGAAGCTGCGTGGGCGCGCGACAGGAATGATGCCGCCGTGGCTAGGGGCCGTGGAGCCGTTTGACCGCCCCGCCCCCGGGCGCGCGGTGGCCTAGGGTGCCTCGCCGGTGGTGCGGGGGTGCCCCGTCGGTGGTGCGGGGGTGCTCCGCTGGTGGTGCGGAGGTTACTCGTCGGTGGCGGGGGGTGCCCCGTCGGTGGCGCTATAGTGAGATCGATGGTGTGATCGATCGTGAGATCGATAGCGAGGTCAAAATAGTGAGATCGATAGTGAGATCGATAGTGAGATCGATGGTGAGATCGATTGTGAGATCGATCGTGAGACCTATTCTGAGATCGATACCCCGTCGGTGGCGGGGGTTGCCCCGTCGGTGGCGCGATAGTGAAATCGATCATGAGATCGATTGTGAGATCCATCGTGAGATCGATATTCAGGGCAATAGTAAGATCGATCTTGAGATCTGTGGTGAGATCGATTGTACGATTGATAGTGAGATCGATCGTGAGACTGACTGTGAGATCGATGCTGATGTCGATCGTGAAACCGATTGTGAGACCGATAGTGGGATCGATAGTGAGATCGATGTGAGTTCGACAGGGAGATCGATAGTGATAGATATTCCAGTGTCGCCTTCATTACAATCGCCACTATGCATCCTCACCATCAGCATCCTCGTGCATCGTCGCTGTCTCGCCGCCGTCAAAGTCATCCAAGTTGTCGTCAGTTGGTTGTCCCTCCCCCCGACCTCCTTATCACCCGCAGGGTGGTCGTTCTAGGTACAGTCAACCATGATAGTAAGGATTGGGTGTCTTTCCAGGGCCACCCTTGCATCCTTGCCCCTTCGGTATTCGGCATCCTTCGGCATTCTGCTGCGCTCCGCACGGAAAACTTCAACACGGCGTTCCAAGGCCCTTGCATCCTTACTGCGCATCCCTACTATCCTGGTGGAGTGTATGGACCAGGAGGGGAAAAAACACAGACACAATTCATCGACGATTCCCCAGAAGATATAGGAACATATGGGAAGTGGGGGGGAAGACGAAAGCCCAGAAAATGTAGGAAAATATGGGGAATCTGGTTATTTGTGTGTATTCAGTTGTGTGTCCCAGGGCCCCCTCCATTGAGGCATGCCGAAGACACGCCCAGGACACCATGACGTCACGGCACGATCTGGACTGAGGCTCGCGAGCACAGACTCGTCCCAGAGGCTGCGCCCTCCGCCGCCGCCTCCCCCCCTGACTGCCTCGAGGATGCGTCGACCAGGTTGGCCGATTGGCGGATGTGTTGACCGGCAAGGCCGAGGAGGAGGAGGAGGAGGCAGAAGGCTGCGAGGGCGAGCGGGCGAGGAGGGAGGAGGAGGAGGACGATGCGATGTGGGTGGAGGAGGAGGAGGAGGAGGAGGAGGAGGAGGAGGAGGAGGAGGAGGAGGAGGCATCTTTGCTCGTCGTCCGAGGCGGGGGTCATCCATAGCCACCGCCTGGGGCATCGATCTTGTGGTACCTCGGCAGGCGATGTATATGGATATCTTCTGGCCCCCGTGGGGCCAACATGCGTCCACATGAATCGCCCGCTGCGGTCCCAGCGCAGGGCTCATTTCGACTCTTCCGATTCGGTTCGATTCGATTTCGTTGGGTCCGATTCCGATCCGATTCGACTTCGGATTCCGATTTAGGATCCGATTTCTCAATGGAGGCCTGCTTGCCTGCCGATGTCTGCCGATTCGACTGTTCCCGACTCGGCTGCCGATTTTTGCCGATCCGATTCATTGCGATCGTCGATCTTATTTGTCGAGTCGTCGAATCTGGGCTCTCCTGCAGCGCGTTGGTTCCACAGGCGGTGGACATGGATACATGGTCCCGGGCTCCTGGCCCACGCCCCCCAGATGGGATGGGCTCCGGGGGGGCCCTGGCCCCATCCCCCCCTAGGGTGGGGGGGTGGGGGCGACGACGACGACGGGCACCAGGCCTACGCCCCTGCGATGGGATGGCTTCTGGCCCCCCCTGGGGGATGGGGGCGACGCCGCCGACGCCGACGCCGACGACGACGACGAGACGACGGGGACGACCTCCGGACTTTCCTGGAGGCTGGCGACTCCTGCTCCCTGAAGCACCCTCAACACGCCATACCCCCACGCCCCACGCCCATAAGGGGGGGTGAGGGCACCACGCCGTGTCCGAGCAGGGGGGGGCCTCATCCTCTTCCTCCTCGTCCTCCTCCTCCTCCTCCTGGCTGTTCCCTCTTGGCCCTAAGAGACCCCCCATTCGGGCCCCCCCACCCCAGTCCGTCGAGGGCCCTCATTATGTTGAGAAGGTGCGACGCAGAGGCGGAAGGCATCAGCATGGAGGGGAGAGGGTTCAGACCCTGGGTTGTATATCCCCGCGTGTCCTGCCTTTTCGCCTTCCTCTTCTCTGCATTCTCTCAGCCGTGCCTCAGTTCGTGGCCGGCGTGTCTTGCCCGGTAGCCCGACCAGCGTCTGTGCCGCTTTTGCACTCTTGCGCCCGCTGACTTCAACAGTATTTTCCCGCTTCGCACGTTGGCTCGCTGTACGGATGGACGGTTGGCACCGACGGGCTTGCTTTCCACCACCACCATAAATTGGAGGGGAAGGGGGTCCTCCTCCTCCTCCTCCTCCTCCTCCTCCTCCTCCTCCTCCGCCTCCTCCCCCTCTCTCGTCCTCCCCCCCAACTTATGGTGGTGATGGTGGAAAACAGGCCCATCAGGCACGGTGGCTGGCCAGTTGGTTGACTGGAGGGCTGGCTCGCAGGCCCGCGGGCGGCCTGGAAGGCTGGATGGGCGGCTGGCGCTTTCTGGGCGCGCATCCATAGGTGATGGGCCTGTTTTCCACCACCACCATAAGTTGAAGGGGGAGGGGGTCCTCCTCCTCCTCCTCCTCCTCCTCCTCCTCCTCCTCCTCCTCCTCCTCCTCCTCTTCCTCCGTCTTCTCTCCCTCCAACTTATGGTGATGGTGGTGGTGGTGGTGGTGGTGGAAAGCATGCCCATCAATAGGCCTCGTAGGCGCGGACCATTTCTGAAACGGGGTACAGCATCCGAGGCTGGAATCTATACACATGACCACCGCCTGGAGGATCAAATTCCGTGGACCTCGGCAGCCGGTGGATATGGCAATGTTCGGGGGCCCCCAGGGCCCAGACATGTCCATATCCACCGCGGGCACCAGGACGTCGGTTCCCAGGCGGTGGATAAGGATAGATCCCCGCCGCGCACAACATTTGTTTGAGCACATGGGCCATGGCCTCGGGAGACAGGACCTTCAGGTCTTTTCCAGGGACTGCAGCCTCGCGAGCGCGGGCGCACGGCTCTGGCGAGGGATTGTGGCCTCGGGAGCGCGGGTTCACTGCCCTCTTGTGCCAGGGATCGCGGTGTCTGGCGCGCGGACCCATGGCTTCTTTTGAATGGGATCGTGGAATCGGGAG